TGTTGTTTCCTCCCTGGTTTCAGCTCCTTCTGATTTGGCCACCCGTATATCGTAGGAGAGCGAGCTTATCAACATCACATCCATTGGACCAACATTTTATAGTTTTAAAATTGTGAGTATTTTACTTTGCCAAAAAGTACTAAAATCAGTTTTTGGGTTTGGATAGATCCGAAATGTGAAAAAATTCCGCGTGTGACCATAGTGGTCTTATGGTTGTCTTCCTGCGATAAGAATGGGTTAATCATGTCATAGAGATATGTGTGAAATGTTAGGTGAAGCCTCACAGTGATTATATCCGTAATTTGTTATAGTGTTGTCCGATTGCGTTGGTTGTGAAAAACCGCAGTCACTTATGATACAACCAGGCAGATGTCTTGGGGAAACAGTCGGTTGGATAAATGAACGGACGACTGTAAGATAGCAAGATGGCCTCCGTGAAAAACATTTGACAAGACACGTAAGTTTACGGTCACATCGAATGACTCAAGATGTTGCAGGAATATTGGCCGACCTTACCAAAAAACTACAGCACATGATTTCCCAAGATCGGTGAACAGCTTGAAAAGTGTCTTGGGTGACTTATGACTTAGGGTGTGCCAAATGAGAAAGACAGCAGGAGATTTAATGTCTACAGTGAACGCCTTGCGAAAGACATAACCTGCTTTAAGGTGTCCCGAGGACAGTGGTTGAGTTACTAAGAAACTTCAGTTACCGGCTTACGAAAAACGAGTGACCAACTAGAAAAATACACTGAGACACCAAGGAACTTCGGTGAACCACTTAAAGAGACAGGTGACCAAGATGCGAGGTACAATCTAACTAGTGGCCACGACGACTTGACCCTCTTATGTTGTCTAGTGTGTTCTTCTATCTTTCTACTTCTTTCTATGAGTGCCCATCAATACATTTTCTGTTACTTTATTAATATATAATATTTTACGGCCTCAAGGGTACTCCCCCCTCTGTTTATTTATGGGAATGACGTATACACACCGGACAAACATAAGTCATCTCCTTGTGAGATACAATTTTTCGTTAATTTGAAGCCCCACCCTGGATCTTGCCAGGGGCTGCAATATAGCCGGCCATAAATATCGCCTAATGGCTGAACGCGGTTTCTGGAACCTCTCCACGGGTGATCCTCATCCACATGGTGGCACTTTGTGTCATCAGGTGTATATCGCTTGTGTGATGTCCTCGTGGGGTAGAAAGTCAGTCAGTCAGTCATACACACTGGAACCTACCAATTAAATACCTTTCTTAAATGTTTTTGTATTTTAGACAAAGCGTTAAGGTCCACTGTGTTCGTAAACTGCTGCTGTGTTTGTTATTCGACATTGCTTCGTTAATATAAATTTATGAAACCAATAGTGCCAGTTCAAAGGTTTGAAATGAATTCTGTCCGTATTCCATAGTTGTGGATTTCAAGCTGTATAATAGATATGGCCAAAAAGACACCTTTGGGGGGGGGGGGGGGGCGGCAGGGTGCCTAGTTGACCATGTTGAAAGTGCACTTGTTTACATAGCGAGGCGCAAACGCCGTCTGGAGGTGACAGGTTCGATTCCCGGTACGGTAAAAATAGCTTTCGATTTTTGTGTTGTCTAGTGTGTTCTATCTCTTTACTTCTTTCTACGAGTGCAGATCAATACATCTGTTACTTTATTAATATATTACGGAAAATCAGCGTCTCATTCATCAACAGCAATGTAGCCACGACCACTACGTTAACGCATTGTTAGCCCGACCCGGTGACGTCAGCAGCACGGTCCGTCAGCTGGAGCCGGTCGTGGTGTAGCCACTACAAAAACGTACTGGTAACTTCAGCTAGCCCTGACCGGCCACAAGTTCACCACAGGGCCGTCTAAACACATGGGCTCGTTGGGGACTTGCATTGTGGCCCCAAGAGAATTGGGGTCCCATGCTGGTCTCTGTATGTAAAGCTATGAGGAGGGGGCAGGTGTAGGTGGAGAAAGAATAGTAGTAGTAGTGGTGGTAGTAGTAGTAGTAGTAGTAGTAGTAATAGTAGTAGTAGTAGTAGTAGTAGTAGTAGTAGTAGTAGTAGTAGAAGTAGAAGTAGTAGTAGTAGTAGTAGTAGTAGTAGTAGTAGTAGTAGTAGTAATGGTGGTGGTGGTGGTGATAGTAGTAGTAATAGTAGTGGTGGTGGTAGTGGTGGTGGCGGAGGAAGAAGAAGAAGAGGATGACAAAGAAGAAGAAGACATTGGTGTCTTAACGAATACAAATAAAAACACCACCACCAACCCTCACCCCCACTTACCAGCAGTTAGCCTATATTCGTGACTGTAGAATGGCTTTATGTGTTTTATTCAGTTGAAGCTGGTTTCTGGGATTCGCTACTAGGATTGGCATTCGAATAGTGGCGCTTTTAGTCATTTTCAGGTTACCATCTCAAAAATGAAACTGGTGGGTTATTTTCTGTTATTTCACCACATCATGACAGCTTCGAAATTTAGTAAGGAAATCCTTAGACATATTGTGGGGAGCCGGTTAGGAAGGGGAGGGGGTAGAGTTAGGCTTAGTAGTAGTGGTTATTCATTTAACGGTGCTTTCGTTTTTATTCACCCTAAACAGACATTCCAATATTTCAGGGGTTGGTAGATAGGCTGCATGCAGTCGTGGGATCTAGGCTGCACTCTCTAGTGGGATGTAAGTAAGTTGGGGTTAGGTCCAGTTCTAGATGTTTTGGGGGTAGTTAAAAGCACCACAACGCCGGGAAACCCGGTCTTACCACCCTACACAATATTGGACTGTCCCCGTGGGGGAAATCTGGGGGTGAAAGAACCGATTTGACACTAGCCCCAGGTCTACCCCACCCCCCACGTACTATGGGACGATCTGGGGACTTCCCTATCAAATCTCAAAGCCGGTGTGATGTGGTGAAATAACAGAAAAATCCGACTGGTCTTTAAATGAGCTGCTACTTAATGATAATCGCTGGGAAACCTTTGAGGACATCAGCGTATAATAAAACGTAGTGAGTAGTGAATATACACCGTTTAAAAATCATGACACATGATAATGATGTTAACAGGGGAACTAACCACAGTCGGTTTCTAATGTAAACAAGATGGCGGACAGGCGAAAGGCTGCCCTAAGCGCATCTGATAGCAGTAGTACACAAGAGACAGAAAAACAGTTTCTAGGTGAGTTTGTACGGAACTGTCTCAAAAGTTTTATAATATATTTGTGTGTGTTCATGTTAACTCTTTCAGGGCCATGAATTTTGACAGACTTAGCTCACATTAGTTTCTTTTTACAAAATTGCAGAATAAGTGGTGGGAAAAAAGGGGGAAATTGACGTTGAGAATAAAATGTTAATAATATCGGCTCTCCTTTGAATCAACCCCCAAAATGGCGGCATGCCACATTCTGGCCATCAAATATCCGAACGACAGTGTTTACGTATATCTAAAATACGGACTTTCTGCCAAGGAACAAATCGCGGTAAAACTAGGATTACTTGACAATATGAACATTGCACACGGTAGTAGTAGCAGACGATAAATACCGACAGTTTCTGCAGACAATAGTAGCAGCAGACGATAGGAGGAGCAGACAATAATTTTTACCGTTTCTGCAGACGATAAAAGCGACCGTTGACAATTTCGAGACATTACAGGCGATACTGACAGCAATATGGCGGGTAGACCGCACACGGCTCGCAAGTATATTAGCAGTACTGTTGTTGCCATTGAGGATTTACCAGCGGTAGATGTCAGACCTGCCGACCTGTATGGAATAATGAACGATAAACTGGTATGGTTGCAATGGCTCGCTACCCACAGGCTAATACGCAACACGCAGGTATGTTCTTCCTGTCAGGGTGCTAAGTCGTTGGCAGCGCGGCAGGAGGCCTGTGACTCATGGCGCTGTAGTACTAAGTGTAGCGTGCGCACTGGCTATTTTTTCAGCATGCGCAAAACGCAGGGTTGGGGACTAAACTAGGTGCCTGGGACTCACGAGTACAGTAATTGGAGGAAGTTGCAGGAGATGCAGTAGCTGCCGCTCATGAGTCCCAGCCATCTAGTTTAGTTCCCATCCACGCCGCGCGTAGCGGTGCGGGGGATACGCTCAGCGGTGAGGCACACTCGCAGAAGCAGGTCGGCAAGCAACGTATCGCCGAGACCCTGTCAGAGCATTTGTTTCATTATCCCGAGCCGGCACGTATATTTTGAATAGAACTGACCCTCTTTTGGATATTTTTGGATATTTTATGGCCAGAAATTGGCCAATTTAGCTCTCCTTTGAACACCATCATATTAAAGCCGCCATTTTGGGGGTTGATTCAAAGGAGAGCCATAATATCTAATCAACACAAAACAATATTTTGTTGAAAAGAGTCCGCAAATGAAGACGCTGGAAGTTCGCAATTGACATGTGACTGAGGCCCTGTTAGGGTATTTTTTCGACCTCGATAAATTGGGGCCGTTATTCAGAGGATAGCTGAAAGACAAAGTTTTAGGCTATCTTCCGAACAAGGGTCCCAAATTATCGAAGCAGAAAATATACCCTAACAGGGCCTCAGTCACATGTCAATTGCGCACTCCGGGGACTATACCACCACCGCCGAGAGTATCCCACATGCCGCTAACGCAGCGTGGATTGGGGCTAAACTAGATGGCTAGAACTCACGAGCAAATAAAATAAAGGCAGCTGCAGGAAATTTGGTAGCTGCTGCTCGTGAGTCCCAGCCATCTAGTTTAGCCCCAATCCACGCCACGTGAGCGGTGTAGGGGATACTCTCAGCGGTGGCTAAAGTCGCCGGAAGTGCACAATTTAAGTCGCTGGAAGTGTGCAATTGACATGTGACTGATTTCCTGTTAGGGTTTATTTGGAAGATAGCCAAATTTTACATGAAGTAAAGGTAGCTGGAAAGTAAAGGGTAAGAGGCAGGGTGTATTGTAGAACCATTGAAGCCAGCTTTCACTGTGGAGATGGCACTTGATTGATTGATCTGTTTTTTATTTTAACTGTTTCAGAGAAGCACAATGTGCACGGAGTCATGAGAGAGCTCCTGGCCAAAATAATTGCTAACAGGCCTGAAAATCCTATAAAATTCATTGCAGACTAGTGAGTATCATTTAGACTTTCACTATCAGTATACATCGAATATACATCATTTCTAACAGTAGAGAAAACTATTTCTTTTTTTCTTATTTTAGTAATTTTCTTTTTCTTCAAATCTTTAATTTTATTTAGTTTTTTCTGGAGTGGCCAGATAGCCTTTGGGCTGTATGGATTACCAATCAACAATCCCTGGTCTATAAAAATATGTTGAGCATTGTATGCCTAATACGTCACTTGCAGGAAAGGGGTCCTTGACTTTACTTTTTATACTTAGTAGAATGAGCAAAAGTTCTTAGTATTATTATAGTTTAGAAATGTAGGAGTAATTAGAGCACAGTCCAGCATTTGTAATTACTACTTAGATGTTGTTGACGATGTTTACTGTAACTGTTAAATGATGTATGAATGGAATAATGTATGTAACGAGTGAGATCTCCAGAGGTGCACAATTTAAGATGTGCATATGTGCCCAATTCTTAACCATTTGAAACAAAAAAAGTTTTGGTTTGTTTGTTTAAAGGCCTTCACGCCCTAATGGTAGCATTGTCTGTGAGACTACCTTTACTTCTTCTTTTTATTTTCTTTTTTTTTTTTTTTTAGCTTTGAGACCTTGACATTGGATGATCATCAGCCTACAGATTTGATCAGCAAAGCCGTGCAGGTGTTAACCTTGACCCATCACAGTCGACCGATGTTTGACACCAATGTACAGACAGCATTCCAGTTGCTGAACAAATACACAAGTAAGTGACTGTGAGTGGAAATATTGACTTGCAGTGGTTGCTAGTCACATGGTTTGTGCCTACTGTTGATAGAATAATTTGTGTAAATTGTAGGTGGAACTTTTGGTGGATTTACCTGTGTAAATTGTTACTGGAACTGTCTGTGTAAATTGCTAGTGGAAATGTTTGTGTAAAATGTAAGTGGAATTTTTGATGGCATTATCTGTGTAAATTGTGAGTGGAACTGTTTATGTAAACTAGTGGAATTCATTCACAACTGAAGCCTACCCTGTCACAACTGAAGCTTATCCTGTCACAACTGAAGCTTACCCTTTCACAGCTAAAGCTTACCCTGTCACAACTGAAGCCTACCCTGTCACATCTGAAGCCTACCCTGTCACAACTGAAGCCTACCTTGTCACAACTGAAGCCTACCCTGTCACAACTGAAGCTTACTTTGTCACAGCTGAAGCTTATCCTGTCACAGCTGAAGCTTGCCCTGTCACAACTGAAGCTTATCCTGTCACAACTGAAGCCCACCCTGTCACAACTGAAGCCTACCCTGTCACATCTGAAGCCTACCCTGTCACAACTGAAGCCCACTCTGTCACAACTGAAGCCAACCCTGTCACAACTAAAGCTTACCCTGTCACAGCTGAAGCTTACCCTGTCATAGCTGAAGCCTACCCTGTCACAACAGAAGCTTACCCTGTCACAACTGAATCTTACCCTGTCACAGTTTATGCATTATCTTTATTATTCTTTATATGAAATACTTTCTTCTTTCTTTATTGTTTCTAGATACTGTTCTATCTTTCAGTGTCATATGGTGCATGCCTAGGTGTGTGTTGTATAGTTGCTAGCTAGTATTCATGACCAGAGATATTCCACCCATCCAGAACTTGCGTGTGTGACCTTGAGCTTTGCTTGCCAGAGATATCCCACCCATCCAGAACTTGCGTGTGTGACCTTGAGCTTTGCTTGCATTGTGTCTTAATGACAGGGCTTTCTGCGGTGAACTACCTTACTGTGGTATTGAGACATGTCTGAACCATGTAGTTCAGCACTGGTTCTCCTTCTTGTTCTAATTATAGAAAATATTAATCCAGTGCAGGAAGAGAAAGGACATCAGAAGTACACTTTATCACACTAGCATGCAGGGACATTCTGCAGAGATTTATGCTAAACTGAAGAGCCTACACATGACTGAAGGTTACTTTTTGTGTTGTTGAACTGGGTATCTTTGATTTATTGTTGTTAGACTCATCATCATGTAGCAGGTCCTTTGCAGAACATCGCTCTCGTCACAGTCTGTCTGAAAGAAACTCGGTCTCTCGCCAGTTCTCCCGCCTCATGCACTTTCACACTCAAGGAGTCACTTATATCCTGTGCCCATCTTCGTGTTGGTCGGCCCCTGCACCTGCTTCCTGGTACCATGCCTTCTGCTATAATTTTTTCCAATCCGTCGTGGTGCTTGATATGACCAAAATATTTCAGCTTTCGTGAAAGGATGCTGTTTATTAGCCAATCTTCCTTGATGTTCAGATCTTTTAAGATGTCAATATTTCTCATCTTCTTTGTCCAAGATATTCTGAGAATCTTTCTATAGCATTTCAGCTCAAAAGCCCCTATTCTCTTTCTTAAGGACTGAGAGATAGTCCACGACTCACATCCGTATGTAGCCACAGGGAAGATGCATGCTCTCAAAATTCTAATTTTTATCTCCTTGCTGGTGCTTAACCATAGACTTTTAAGGCTGTTCAATCTCTGCATTGCTATTGCCATCCTCCTTTTAATTTCTGTCGAACAGTCTCCATTGCTATTTATTATAGAGCCTAGATATTTAAAGTTTGTGTCATTTTCAATTTCTTCATCATTTATTGATATTTTTGGGTGGCAGCCAGTTTTATCTGTGGACATCATTTTCGTTTTCTTTAAATTCAAGAACAGATTTTGATCTTCACTGTGCTTTTGGACAGCCAATGTTAAATTTTCTATTCCCTTTACACTGTTCGAAAGGAGGACTGTGTCATCTGCGTAGCGGAGTTCCGGAATAGGGTTTAGATCGGATCATAACTGTCACAAGTGTGGTCATTTTTGACATTTCTCATTATATTTTCTGCGTAAATATTGAATAGGTATGGTGAGAGAATGCAACCCTGCCTCACCCCCTTTTGCACCTCGAACCAATCAGATGTTTCACCAGCTGCTCTGATGGCTGTTGTTAGACTAGCATTTGAATATGGGATGCTCAGGTCACTGGGTGGTAAACTTCAGACTGCAACCCCAGAGGGAGGGGGACATTGCTGAGGATGATGGACAGTGGAATGACATGATCAAACAACTTGCACATCTGACTCCGGTTGATCAACACAATTAAGGAATAAAATATAGAAAAAATAGAATGTTATAGTTAAACATTTGAGATAGATATTTTCCTTATTATAAAGCTTTTGTTTTTAATGTATTACAGTAAACAAGAAACTGCAGGGAATGAATGGAACAGTTCTCAGCCACATTCTTCATGCACTTTGCAAGTATGATTACTTAGGAAAACAAATTACTAGTGGCAAAAGTGATGATAAAACCACGTGTTTATATCTTATATTATTCTTCAGATTACTGGTTTACCTTTAAATTATTAATTAACTCTTTGCTTATCAGTAGTGAAGCTGAGTTAAGAGGTGACATCAATGCAGTCAGGACATTTCCATAAGTGCTCCTAGCCCATCAGCAGCAGCCAACACAGAGTTTAAGTTTCAAATGGCACCAGTCTGACTTAGTTTATCTAGCCTTTCCTGTGATTGTTGAGTGCTAGTTAGATCCTCTGACTGTTGAGTGTTAGTTAGATCCTGTGATTGTTGAGTTTTAGTTAGATCCTCTGAGTGTTGAGTGTTAGTTAGATCCTGTGATTGTTGAGTGTTAGTTAGATCCTGTGATTGTTGTGTTAGTTAGATCCTGTGATTGTTGTGTTAGTTAGATCCTGTGATTGTTGAGTGTTAGTTAGATCCTGTGAGTGTTAGTTAGATCCTGTGATTGTTGAGTGTTAGTTAGATCCTGTGATTGTTGAGTGTTAGTTAGATCCTGTGATTGTTGAGTGTTAGTTAGATCCTGTGATTGTTGAGTGTTAGTTAGATCCTGTGATTGTTGAGTGTTAGTTAGATCCTGTGATTGTTGAGTGTTAGTTAGATCCTGTGATTGTTGAGTGTTAGTTAGATCCTGTGATTGTTGAGTGTTAGTTAGATCCTCTGACTGTTGAGTGTTAGTTAGATCCTCTGACTGTTGAGTGTTAGTTAGATCATGTGATTGTTGAGTTTTAGTTAGATCCTGTGATTGTTGAGTGTTAGTTAGATCCTCTGACTGTTGAGTGTTAGTTAGATCCTGTGATTGTTGAGTTTTAGTTAGATCCTGTGATTGTTGAGTGTTAGTTAGATCCTGTGATTGTTGAGTGTTAGTTAGATCCTGTGATTGTTGTGTTAGTTAGATCCTGTGATTGTTGTGTTAGTTAGATCCTGTGATTGTTGAGTGTTAGTTAGATCCTGTGATTGTTGAGTGTTAGTTAGATCCTGTGATTGTTGAGTGTTAGTTAGATCCTGTGATTGTTGAGTGTTAGTTAGATCCTGTGATTGTTGAGTGTTAGTTAGATCCTGTGATTGTTGAGTGTTAGTTAGATCCTGTGATTGTTGAGTGTTAGTTAGATCCTGTGATTGTTGAGTGTTAGTTAGATCCTGTGATTGTTGAGTGTTAGTTAGATCCTCTGACTGTTGAGTGTTAGTTAGATCCTCTGACTGTTGAGTGTTAGTTAGATCATGTGATTGTTGAGTTTTAGTTAGATCCTGTGATTGTTGAGTGTTAGTTAGATCCTCTGACTGTTGAGTGTTAGTTAGATCCTGTGATTGTTGAGTTTTAGTTAGATCCTGTGATTGTTGAGTGTTAGTTAGATCCTGTGATTGTTGAGTGTTAGTTAGATCCTGTGATTGTTGAGTGTTAGTTAGATCCTGTGATTGTTGAGTGTTAGTTAGATCCTGTGATTGTTGTGTTAGTTAGATCCTGTGATTGTTGTGTTAGTTAGATCCTGTGATTGTTGAGTGTTAGTTAGATCCTGTGATTGTTGAGTGTTAGTTAGATCCTGTGATTGTTGAGTGTTAGTTAGATCCTGTGATTGTTGAGTGTTAGTTAGATCCTGTGATTGTTGAGTGTTAGTTAGATCCTGTGATTGTTGAGTGTTAGTTAGATCCTGTGATTGTTGAGTGTTAGTTAGATCCTGTGATTGTTGAGTGTTAGTTAGATCCTGTGACTGTTGAGTGTTAGTTAGATCCTGTGACCACTTCCCGGTGCACCATTCTCTCCAGACCATGATGATCTATTTGTGCTTTCGCATGGTTCACTTGCTGCCATAAGGTTTTGAACACATCTAGCTTGTCATGCATCAGTTCACCAGCAAGTGATGCAGAACCAGCCAATAGGTATGCCTGTTTGGTTCTCATGACACCCACTAACCCCGGAGAAAAGATCCACAGGATGCTAACTACCAGGATCCTCTGAACCGATGCTTGCCATTCTACACAGAGCATGCCTTTCTTCAACTTTCTCAGCTTGCTCTGGGAGTCTGTTGAATATCCATAAACCCTGAACATGATGAGAGCAACAGTAGTGTAGTAGCTTGTTGCTTGCCTTGCCGACCAGCGGTTATGTCTTTGAATCACCATCCAGATGGATTCTGTAAATGTTCTACCTGTATGCTTCCAGGTTCTTCTTCTTTTTTTTTTTTCTGTACCTGCAGTTACCTCATCGAAGTGTTGGTTGGGGAGGGGGGGGGGGGGGTTTGTATACATTTTTGATGTGCTATATCTAATCTTCTTCTTTGTTTACCGGCTGTAAACTCCAGTGGAAAGTCCTGGTTGTTCATCCGTTTGGACTTTGGCTTTTGTGCTAGGGGCTGATTTTTGCATGTACATCTGTTTTATTGGGGGCTTATTTGTGTGCAGTGGATTGTTCCTTGCTGCTTGTGCAGATGCACTCTGACTCGAAGAAAGCTTCAAATTATTCGACTCCTACGACGGGCTTGATGGGAGGCAGTGGGTCTATAGTTGTTTTCCCCACAATGGGGCCCCAGAACCCACACAGGGAGCTCTTTTTAATGTCTTGCATAAATTGATCTTAATTTCCTTAATGCTGTTTTTGATACCCTCATTCTATATTTTTCATGATCCGCTTTCTCTCATATTTCATATTTCATCATATTTCTTCGTGGCACTTGGTACCATTACGTGCAATAATAGAGCAAAGCATTGAATTGAATTCACCACTTTACATCGGATTCATAAGACTGTGAATAAGCTTTTGACAGCATTTATAGGGAATCTATGGAAATTAATTGGGCGCTATGGAATCCCAAGAAAATTATTAACTTAGTAAAGGCAACATACAGAGACATGAAATGTTGAGTTCTTCATGAGGAAAGCTAACAGATACATTTGAAATAAAAACAGGTGTGCAGCAGGGATGTCTTTGTCGCCTCTCCTATTGTTACTGGCAAAGACTGGATTATTTAGGCAGCAACTGCTAGCACCAAGAATGGAATTCAGGGGACCCCCTACAAAACAGTTTGATGATCTTTCTCTTCTGTCCCACTCATGGAATCAGAATCAAGATAATTAAATATACTTGATGTGAGATCACATGAGACAGGAGTGTGAACAGACATGAGTATCTATGCCAAATTGCAGGGACTGTAAAAAGAAGTAAGATCAAAATTGCTTGATTTATTCTATTGCAGAAACATTCCACCAGTAATTAGCATACGTCTGTTCAAGAGACTAGAATGTTTTGAGTATGAGGCAGTTACATACGATGTGTTCAGATCTTCAGTGTTCACATGCTGTGTTCTACAAGGTAACCACTTTATATCCTGGTTATGTTGTGTAAAAAAAAAAACTGTCTTTACTGCCATTTTTTACCACTTTGCACTGCTCTTCTATTGTAGCGTCAAGACGTTCACTTGCAGATCAGGAGTTCGGGTTCAGGTCCTGATGTGGCTGGACTTTTTTCAAAAATGACTTTAGCTGCCAGTTTGATCCTGCCTTGCGTGGGTACCAGGTAACGTTCTGGGAAGTAAAGGCGTCCGGCATGATGCTGATCACATCACCCATAGTTTGATGATTGGTCTATCAAATATAGGTCTAGCCTTTTATGCCTGAAGGTGTAGAAAAGGATCCTTTACCTTATTTTTTTTTTAAATATCCTTTTACTGCTCTTCTGATTCTAAAGCATGCTTTGTTCGAAAATACTGGTGTTACCTTTCCACTGGAGTTAACAAAGCAGACCTGGCGAGGGATAATGGTGCATGGGCAACACATGATCTATAAAGTACTGCCAAGGCTTTGTGCCATGGAGATGATTGAATTCATCTCTAGCCTTAACTTACATCCCCATAGGTTGTGATTCCCATGCATGCCTGCATTGCAATAAAACACTATCATCTGGAAAGATGGAAAGGGTGCCAGCAACATTAGGTGTAGAACTAATGGATCTTGTACCTGAGGATGTAGGGCTAGTACAGGTCAGGAGATGTTTCTTGTGTTTGCCCTGAAAAGAAAAAAAAAATGTATTATCACTTCAAAAAGGATTCAGGTCCAAGTCTTGCATATGAGAGCCTAGAACTCTTAACTGTTTGGCCAGCCACTTTTCTTGTAAAGGTTGTTAAGTAAAGGACTCTTTTCACCCCAGTGGCGCATCTGGCTTATGATATTAGAATCATAGTTGTATAGCCCCATCTGCCTTTAATGTGTGATGTGGTTTACATCATGCTAACTGCCTTTACTTCTCAGGACTTCGCCCGGTACTCATTTTAGGCTGGGTAGGTTGTGCATGTGGTTGATAAGAAATGATAGAGTAGTAGTGTTCATTGTTCCTATTTTTAGGTGTTTAAGGAAAGCTTATTTAAATGCACTTGTTTGCTGTTCGGTCAAGGATCATTCTCATTGGGAGCTGCAGTGGTACAATGGCGAGACTCATGTTGCTTGCTGGCTTTGAATTCACATCGAGGCAGATTTTTATAATTGTGGTGGGTATGGAAATGTGTGACCCAAATCAAATGAAATCTGATGGAGAATATGACACAGTTACAAAATGACATTTGATGGAAAATGTGATATAAAGGCAAATATCACTTGTGCATACATATAGTAACAAGCTAACTGTACAGCTTGCTTGCCCTGCCGTATTTAATTCAGTTTATATCTCTTTGGGACTCCCCCCCCCCCCCATATTATAAACATTATGCTTTGAACAATCTGTTTATATATATTTTTTTCAGATTATATTACCATAGCTGATAATTTGTTTCAAACTCTGGATGTGCAGAAATCTGGCAAAGCTGATAAACATCTCTGTGATGTGGCCCTGGAGCAGCTCAGGAATGCGCTGGCAAGCTCACGAACTGACATCAAGAGGTAGGCCGAAGCTATATTTATTTGCCTGATTTAACTTTTTGTCATGTTTGATTTTGGTTTTTATTTCTCTTTCAGTCTCCTATTCTGGAACAGCCTTTGGCATTTCTGACTCACCAGTTCTCTCTGTAACTGATGCTTTGATGAAGTTGGTGTTAGGGGGCTGCGTGGTCTCGAGGCATGGTGTCCGCCCCAAGTGCTAGAGGTTCTGGGTTCACTCCTTGGTAAGAGCTGGGATGTAGCTTTCACATAGACTTGGACTTCTAGTAATTCCCCCTGGTCCCTGGGTAGAGAGATTGGACGCCCGTGAGCATTGTTGTGCATGTAAAAAATCTCTCGGTAGTTGGAAATCAAAAAGAGTAGCCTAACGGCGCTGCCCAGGCAAAATTTGCAGTTTAAAATCAACCCAAGTATTTCAGGATACTGGTCGGTGCTACAGAGTCTGTGCACTGTGCTGAGCTTCTGCAAACTCAGACTTTAGTTGTAAGAAGAACAGAGCACTTATGTGTGCCATGATGTTGATTCATTGTTCAAACTTCAAACTTAAAGTTGGTGTAGCTTTTATTATCACATATAGTAAAATTATATTTTTGTTCTAAATTGACTTTGGTTCCCAGGTTGGCCGGACTAAAAAAGGGTATGGGGTAATGTCCAGGAAAGTAAAGGTGGCCTCTTGATGCTGACAATATCACCTACTGAGTGCTGATTGTTATATAAAAATATGGGTCCACCAGTTGGTCTTACATAAACTATATACATGTAATATTATATACATTTTTTTCACCAGTTAACTCACCAATTTGTGGACAGACCCATAAATAGACAGAGAAACCCAACACAGACAGTCAGATAATAAAATAAAAGTCAACAGACAGACCATAAAACAGCATCAAATGCCCCATGTGCCACGTGTGTAAAACAAAAGACTATATATGTAATAATATACACTTTTAACTCATTATGCATTTGTTGGGACTCCTTTCCATAATGTACTTTATTAACTTCTTGTGGCCTTTTCAGTTGTAGATATATTCCCTATTGTGTTTGCGTGTAGCTTCCTGATTGTTATGGTGCGCATCCTGGCTGTTTGCCTCTTTCAGCACCTTATTTTGCCATAGCAGACTGTGGTCTTACTCTTGGACTCCTATATTCATAATGGGAGCATGGTTCTTATGGCTATATTGATATTACGACACGATAGCCACCGTGGCTATTTGACAGGGTACATTTCATTATAACACCCCTAAACCACAGAATACATAGTTTCCACAAATAACAAAATATCCATCACATAAGAATTTGTATTAAAGGCACTTTGCTTAAAAAAAAAAACAGATACAAGTGTAAATTCTAATAATAATATTGTGTGTTGCTGTAAAACTGTCTTAAAACTGCCATTTCTAAACCAGAAGTCCTTGTCTGTTGTAATATTCACTCATTTAATGTCACTTCTTATTTCCATTTCTTTTTTTCCCCACAGTGGGACCTTGAAACCCACACAGGGAGATACTGCATTTTTAAGAAAAGTTTTACTGGGTAATTTACCATTACTTCTGTTTTTACGGTGTTTAGACTAAGACCTTATTCTGACTTTTGCTACACTTCTATCTCATAGATAAGAAATAACCTGAGATATGAACTATTCTCTTCTTCCCAGAATTGTGGAATCGAGCTACAGTCTCAGCCCAGATGGACTCTTTACAGCATTAGACAAGGTAGCATTTGTATTTTTTCTACCTCAAGTTCTGAATATACTCAACAGTCGCCAAAATGTCAGTCTTTTACTGGCCACTACACTTACCTGTAACCCTGGTGGAAATAGTATAAAATCCCCCATCAACCAGATTGTAAATAGAAAGTTTAACGCAGCACACAGCAGGTTATAGGAAATATTCAGGGAACTAAAGGCAGCTGACATTATTTTTATTATGTCACTCATTAAGTGCTGACTGGACACTAAATACCAAACACACTTCATTGTGTGGATAACATGTCCACTACTAATTTTTTCTATCCTGTCACCAATATATTTTAAAATTGAATTTCTGTAGATTTTACCCCTTCACTGATTTAAAAAAACTGATAATGATAATAGAAGTGAGGTAGCTGTCTGTAAAATGTCATTTTCTTCTTCTTTTCTTTCGTTTCAGTGATTTCATTGTTTTGTGCCTGTTTACAGTAAAGCTACGATACTTGCACCTTTCTTCTGACTTCATCATACGTTTTGTTGCCTGGGTTAGCTTCCTGGATAGAGGAACATAACATAGCCTTCTTTGTGGGTGTTCTCCTTGTTCCCTTATCTACAGGCACTGCCTCCAGGTCAACTGCATATTGATCGGTCATTCCTTCAGCGAAGGCAGGAGTAGATCATGGGAATTCCCTGCCATCCAAGGGGGCTTCCATAAAAAAGCCGAGCTAATACATGACGCTCTGGTCCTGGGTTCACCAAAGGAATCATCACGCTGTGCAACTGACTGCTTAACTTTACATGCATGTATTGAGCTTGTCACTCGTCACAGGCTGCACTCTCTGCAAATCAGCAGGGAGCAGCCCACAGTCCAGGACATTAATTACGACACAAATAGGTACATTTTTCTTCAGCACATTAGACACCTTTAACATTTCATCTGGACTTTTAGCACGACAGTATGGAAAATGGTGCATCAGGCATAGCTTTCCCTGTTTGGTCCTGACAGTGGTAACGGACATCTTAACCTTTTAAACAGTGGATCCTTTGATGGTCGGAGATTTTAGACTTATACCATAGGTTATTATCTGATGGATATTTGAGCCTAGACAGCGGACTAACAGTGGCAGGTTGTCATGGTGTACCTAAACACGTTGATGTTGATGGTTGACAAAGGATGTATGGAGACAAAACTGTACTGCGAGATACAGCCACAGGAGATGTTGTTCATTTAAGGCTGCGAGCAAACCTCTTGGTCTAGGGCCAAGTCTCAGCAGTTCAGTAGTTATTTCAGTAGACTACCAGACCAGTTCAGTAGTTGTTTCACTTGACAGGTGTTTTAATCTTGAGTTGTCATTTGGTAGTATGTTCAGCTAGCTGGTTGTGCTTGTGTTCTAAATGAGTTGTGATAAATGTTTTCACCCATGTAAAGGGTTGGGGGGAGGGGGGGGCTGTTGAGAGCCAGACTAGGCACTAGATCTCTAGGGGTCCACTAACTCTGAGATGAAGTACGAGAACAAGCACAGAGCTTACTGGCGCCTGACATGAAGTACGATGGATCTCCTTATACACATCACAACAGCGTTAACTTTTCTCATACCTGTGGCGGAAATCACACATAAAGTGTCAATATGACTTTTACCATCTTCATCTGCATAATGATGCCATACGCTTAACACTCTTGACATCCTTAACAACAGTATTGACAGGTTACAAGACAGTGGCATGGTTTTTATAATATCTGTCTTAAGGTTACGGTTTTCATTTAAAGCTGCCTCATACATCAAAGAACGTTTTAAAAAAAAGTGTTTTTTTACGTAACCCAATATTTATCCAATATGTCAAAAAATACTGGAAACATTCCTTGGCTTACAACTGAAACAAGTTTCTTTTGTGCAGGCAATGTCCAGAAGGCACAGTCAAGGGTTTTACAGTCAGGACCAGTTTGTGGCTGAAGCTTGCGACTCATTCCTGGCAAAGGTTGATTTTCTTCTTCTTCTTCTTTCGTTCACTTGAAATAGATATCTATATCTGCAATGTTGTCTCTAGTATGAACTTCTCTGTCTTTTGTAATTCACTCCGTAACCCGTAAAGTTTGGCTTGCACTGGTGTTTCTCTTGGCCAAAAATTTTACTTTGATACGTTGTATTTGGGGCAGTCTTGGAGGATGAGATCTGTTGTCTCAAATGCCATTCCATATTTGCACATGGCTGATTTGCCAATCTAAAATGTTGTATACAAGTGGCTGCAAAGTTGATTGTGTCCTGTTCTAAGGTGTAGAATAATAACTTGCTCTGGTCTGTCCATAAAATAGTAATTATCTTGTGCCTGTTTTGGTGTCTTTCTGATAGATTTGATCATTCTCTTCTTCTGTTAATAAGAGGCTGGTACATCAAAGGTTGATAAATGCTGGATTGTTTGTCTGTGGTTGAATCTTGTGATTCAAAACTGGCTAAAGTTTACATAATGTCTTCTCTTATTGTGAGTCTGTAGTCGGTATATCTAGCTAACTATCACTGAGTCTGCATATAAATCTGTCTGTCTGTGGGTTCTTTTGTCTGTTTCTGGGTCTGTTGACTGTATGTCTGAGTTTGAGTTGTCAAGAACTTGGATCAAAGTGCTGGGACATTTCTATAAGTGCTCTGTACCCATCTAAAAAAAGCTAAAAGCATGCAGTCAGTGCAGAGTTCCCGTTCTGGTGGTGTCACTGCAGGTTTGTTTTTGTGTTTCTTACTGTGGATCTGTTTGTCAATAGCTGTAGATGTGTTTTGGTATTTCTGTTGATCCCTTTTTATGGTATGTCTGTCTGTGTTAGGGTGTGTGTGAATATTTGTGGTCTGTTCATAAATCCATCTGTCTGTCTGATTGTATGAGTTTCTTTCTAAAGATTATGGTAATTGTCGTGATTGAAATCAATGATTGTGGGAATAGTAATAGTGATTGAGGAGTAATGGTAGTGATAGTAGTGGTGATTGTGGAGATGGTAATGGTGTTTTTGGTGATGATAATGGTGTTTGTGGTAGTAATGGTGACTCTGGTGATGGTAATGGCATTTGTAATGGTGATTGTGGAGATTGTAATGGTGTTTATGGTGGTAACAGTGCTAATTTTAGTGGTGACAGTGCTTACTGTAGTGGTGATGGTAATAGTGATCTTTTCATTGAACTAACATTGAAGATAAATGTGCTGTACACTACTCTACTTTAGGCATTTCTACATTTATATGGTAGATCAAGTTGATCAGGTTTGTAATTGCAACGTGTTTTTATTTCTTTCAGGTTCGAAATCTGAAGTAATTTCACCAGAAAGATTAAGAGTCCAGTCCCTTTTCTATTTGTCACCATCGTGTACCAGTTCTTTTGCTGGACATTGCTGTCATCACAGATCAGCATGAAGATTGTTAATCTTTGACCCAACCTCAAAGATTTTCATCTCAAAGTGTATTTAATGTCCTCTGTCTACGTTTATGGTGGTCTTCCCTTTTACTCATCATTTACTAATTCTGGATGGACCATTGTGTTGTTTAATATGGTAAAAGTGTATTAGTTTCTGAGAAATGAGTCTGTGACTGCCATAATACTTAGTTTGGAGTATAAAGTTGTTGTTTCCCCTTGCTGTCCACTGTAGTTTTAGACTTGTTTTTAGTCTTTGGCAACTTAAGTTACTAAAGTATGAGAGTACCATACTCTGCAGTACTGTTGCTAAAAGCAAAGAACACCCCAGAGGTTGACACATTGTGTTTGCTGGAACCTTTCCATTTTGCTAGATGATAGTGTTCCATTGTGCAACAGGGAGGAATGGACATCCCAGATTTTAGTTCCATTGTGCTACAGGGAGGAATGGACATCCCAGATGATAGTGGTTCATTGTGCTACAGGGAGGAATGGACATCCCAGATGATAGTGGTTCATTGTGCTACAGGGAGGAATGGACATCCCAGATGATAGTGGTTCATTGTGCTACAGGGAGGAATGGACATCCCAGATGATAGTGGTTCATTGTGCTACAGGGAGGAATGGACATCCCAGATGATAGTGGTTCATTGTGCTACAGGGAGGAATGGACATCCCAGATGATAGTGGTTCATTGTGCTACAGGGAGGAATGGACATCCCAGATGATAGTGGTTCATTGTGCTACAGGGAGGAATGGACATCCCAGATGATAGTGGTCCATTGTGCTACAGGGAGGAATGGACATCCCAGATTTTAGTTCCATTGTGCAACAGGGAGGAATGGACATCCCAGATTTTAGTTCCATTGTGCTACAGGGAGGAATGGACATCCCAGATGATAGTGGTTCATTGTGCTACAGGGAGGAATGGACATCCCAGATGATAGTGGTCCATTGTGCTACAGGGAGGAATGGACATCCCAGATGATAGTGGTTCATTGTGCTACAGGGAGGAATGGACATCCCAGACGATAGAGTTCTATTGTGCTACAAGGAGGAATGAAATCCCAGTTCCATAGCACAAAACCTGGGGAGTTTTGTAGAGACCATGTGTTGCCCGTGCAGCATGACCCCTCTCTCTGCCAGCTTTGTTAACTACAAAGGAAATGTAATATTAATACGTTTGGAATAAAGTATGCCTCAGAGGTTGCCAGATCAAAAGAGCAGTGCTCTGTTTGTTTGTTAAAGCTTCACTCCTGTACAAGGTACTAACAAAGGCTAAAGGCCTGGTCTGCCTGACCATAACATTAAGTTTTCAGGTTGTACTTTCTCACCCTAGGATAAGGCTAGTATTCTCCATAATGCATTTGAGATAGATATTCCTCTAGACATTCAGCCCCTAAAGCTGAGATTCCACTCCTTCCTTGAGATACAACTATTGATAAGCCATTCAGGTAGACTCATACATACTCTTAGCCGTACACAAATGAAGAGACTAGATCGGAGACAGAATGAGGTCAGCAGCATCAAACTTGGATGCCCAAAAAATACAGCATTCAGAGTTATTTGTTACCTCCTTGATCTTCCAACCATGAAAGTGAGATCTGTGATCTGCCAAGCACGTGCGTATCTGTTAATCAGTGCTGATACACAACATCCATTGCACAATGAGATTTGCTTGAAGAAGGGTAGCAGGTGAGAAAGAGTGGGTCAGGCTGAGGACATTATTCAACAAGTTTGTTCAACTGAGGACATAGAACCTGGCCAGGAATGGGGACAAATGCCAGCAGAGTTGGGTGCATCCTTTTAACCCTGCATAAAACTGAGTAGAGATTACAGACAGCAAGGCCCGTTTGTGGTGGAGGCAAAAGTTCAAGCCTTAATTCTTGAAAATTCTGCTGACGGATGTGTAGTTATCTACACTGATGGATCCGTCATTCGACACGTAGTACAAAGTTCATGGCTTTAACAGTTCTGGTTCAAGAAAAAAATGTAAAAAAAAGAAAGCAGGGCTTTTGCTTTGACTACAAGTAGTCTGACTTTGTATGGAGGTGATGGCGGCAGCAAAAGCAATGATGTGCCTGGAGACAGCCTTTTTCCCCATCCGTGCTTTCTAAGTGATTCCATGGGCATGCTTAAGAAGATAGAGACAGGATGGATTCAAAGAAAATAGTTGGAGTCGCTGAGGAAATCTTGATTGAAAGGAATTAGTTTCATTTTTGTGCCAGGACACTCTGGGGTAAGAGGGAATGAACGAGCGGATTGGCTTGCTGACAGGATCATGATAGGTACAGGAAAAGCAATGGACCAGGCCGACATTCTAAATACTCCCAAGAAGGCAGGACAAGAAGATGATTTAAAAGACGACGTTGAATTGGCAACATTCAAAAGAAGAATAGTAAACCAGTACAGAACTGGTGTTATCAGTCGCCACATGATGAGGGATATACTGAAGACAGGATCCAAGCTGTTATGGTTTTGCCCGATGTGCAGTGAGGATAATTTGCTGATTAACTATTCATCAACTATTGTTGTAACAATATAGCCAAAGTTGGAGAAACAGGTCGATTTTGAAATAAGAATGCAAAAAGCAAGAGGATCTTTCCTAACACCAGAACAATTGTTAAGTAATAAAATGAAACCTGGTACTGAAATTAGAACGAAGTCAAATATCAAATCAGTTTTGCTGTATGGATTAGATGCATGGAATATGACAGCTACTAATAAACTACAAAAATGTATTAACTGGTGCTTGAAAAGAAGAGTCAATTAAATGGAATTAAGAATCAGTAATGCTGAGTTAAGGAAGAAATCTAAACATATTCTAGCGAATCAAAGGGTGAACTGAAATAAGAGGTGAAATCAAGATACTGTTGCAAGACAGAATGCACATTGAAAAAGCCTGATAATAATTATTATAACTAGCTAGTCTTTTTACTGGAACCCACAAAGCAAATATTTAATAAGGAGACCTGAAACGCATGGAATTGAGAATTAGTGACCAGCGAATTATATGTGCCATTCATGGAATGAATCGCATTAAACACCAAACGAGAGGATATTTCGGCGTGATTGTGTTCCAACATGTAATAAAGGAGAGCCGTAGTAGCACAGTGGCTAAATTTCCACCTGCTGGCCCTGAGATCTTGGGTTTGAATCTGCATCTGGGCGTAATTTTTTGCAAAACTGACCTTGGCCCAGCCTAAAATGGATACCAGGTAATGTCCATGGAAGTAAAGATGACTGGGGTGATTTGGACCACATCCTTCACTGAGTGTTAATTGGTCTATACAAATATGAGTCTTGTGTTGTGTGTTTAATAGCACAGGAGTTCTGATACTAGTGCACACCAACCCAGCTCTTGCTACTCTATCAACAGTCTTTTATTAGCACTAGAGTTCAATGGCACGGGAGTTTTTATACTCACACACAACAGCTTCCCCCACCCACTTCCTTTTCCTGCTTCTCAAACAACTCTCACCAGGTAATAGAATGCCAGTCCAACCAATCATTTAGGTGCAATTAACAATTCTTTGTCAACATACTTGGCACACACAAAAACCACAGTTGTAGCCAAAGCTGCTCGAA